CTTTTATGGTATCAGAGCGACACTAGACTCCCACGAGTCGATCCTCTATTTTTTTCCCGCTTACTAGCCCAACAACTCAAATGGCCGCCAATATTTATGTGACCAATGCTGATGGAGTCAACAACGCCATTACTGTCAACATCGCCATTACTATTGTCCAATTCAATTCCCTTACGCAACTGCCCATAAAATTAACTAGCAGTCACAATTTCTCCCTGTGGAAAGCTCAAGTTTCAATGCTTATGCGTGACCACAATCTCTATGGGCATCTCGATGGCTCCATCCCTGCCCACGCACCATCTCTCAAAACAATCAAGATGTGAATAACCCTGCATTTGTTCCCTGGTATCGCCAAGATCAGTTAATTCAAAATGCTATCTTAGCCTCTGTTGATCCTACACTTGCCCCTACTGTTGCTGTTGCAGTCTCCGCCAAAGCTGCTGGGATGCTTTGCATATTGCGTATGCGAACAAATCTCCAATAAGAATTTTCAGCTTGCGTGATCGATTGGCTCGCCTTACTAAAGAATCTCGTCCGGTCACCGATTATCTTCATCAAGTTCGATCGATCTGTAATGAACTTGCAACTGCTGGTGCCCCTGTATTAAACGCCGAACTCATCGTTAAAATACTTAGTGGACTCGGATCTGAATTTCGCGAACTCTCTGCTGCCATTCGTGCTCGGGGTTCTACAATTTCCTATGAAGAGCTTTATAAAAAACCTTTTAATCATGAGCTTTTCCTAAAGCACGAGGAAGACAAGAAGCCGTTGTCCACACCTATTACCGCTGTTGTAGCACAAAAGAATACACCAACTCCTCCTCATCAGGGTAATAATCCTAACTCCAGCAATCGCCGTCCAAGTCCAAATGTACCTGCCAACAATCAGCAATGGCGACCACAACCATGGCGCCCACGAAGAAACAACCAGCAGCAGCCCTTTGACAAAAATCTTCGCTGTCAACTATGTGATCGTATAGGTCGTTCTGCTAGAGTATGCAGATCGCAGTCACATGATCATCTGCAAGCTCGGGCTAACTTTGCTGCTCGTTTTTCTCCTCAACAGACCCCGTGGATCGTGGACTGTGGAGCCACTCATCATATTGCATCTGATGCTCAAAGCCTAACCACGGTACATGATTACCACGCCACCGAAGAGATAACTATGGGCAATGGTAACACCATACCAATATCCCATTCTGGTAACTCTAACATAAGTGCTTCAAATCATAATTTTAAATTTCCCAATATCTTATGCTCTCATCCCATAAAAAGTAACTTTATCTATGTTTCTAAGTTTTGTCGTGATAATCATTCATCTATTGAATTCTTTCCTTTTCATTATCTTGTGAAGGATCTGAGTACGTGACGTCTCTAGTTCACGGACATAATAAAGATGGGTTGTATGAGTAGCCACCGGATTGTGCACATCGTCCTCCTCAATGCAATGTGGCTGTTCCATTTCACTTGTGGCAACGACGTTTAGGTCATCCTAGTCGTCGCGTTTTAAATACTATCTTGAATAATTTTCCCCTTCCTGTTTCAGATCCTAAAGGTAGTTCCATTTGAAATTCCTATTATTCAAATAAAATGCACAGGTTGACTTTTTCCGAAAATTCATTGCAAAGTAACAAGCCACTGCAAATCCTTTATAGCGATTTATGGGGTCTGTCTCCGATTTTGCCAATTGATAAAAAAGATATTATGTGTTATTTGTTGAGCAATTTTCAAAATACATGTGGTTGTTCACTTTGAAATCAAAAAATAAAACGCTTGAAGCTTTTCAAATTTTGCATCCATTACCAAAATTCAATCTCTTTACAGTGACGGTGGTGGTGAATTTTAATGTTTACAGTCCTATCTCAAAACACATAGCATAGAACACTTATTATCACCCTCATATACTCCGCAAAGAGTTGCTCTAGTCGAAAGAGACGACACCGACATGTTATTGAAACTGCTAGAACCTTGCCACACCAAACTCAGTTGCCAGCCATGATTCCCCTCAACCAAATTGTTCTGCCTCACCAGTTCACCCTTCTCCCCATTTAAACGCTCAGCCTCAATCCACAATAATCACTTACCAGCGCCGAAATAAATCCATTGGACCTTTGACCCAGAACCTTATGATACAACCTTCTTCCCCATCACCTGTCCCACCTTCCATCGTCTCAAAACCTTCCCTTGTTGCCGCTGACTCTACATTGACATCCACTCATCATATGATTAGTCAGTCTAAAATCAAAAACCTTAAGCCCAAACAATTTCATACTGTTGTTCAAACCACTTCCTCCATACCTAAAACCTTTAAGCAAGCTCAACAAGTCCCGCACTGGCATGAAGCTATGAAAAATGAATTTGAAGCCATAGTTCGGAACCAGACATGGGATCTGGTACCATGTGATCCTTCGAAAAATGTGGTGGATTGTAAGTGGTTTTTTCGAGTTAAATATCATCCCGATGGTTCTGTTGACAAGTACAAAGCTCGCCTAATTACCAAAGGGTTCACAGAACGACCTGGCCTTGAATATCAATGTACTTTAAGTCCTGTGGTAAAGCCCGCAACTGTTCGACTCGTTCTTGCAATTGTGACACAACAGAGCTGGCACATCGGTCAACTTGATATCAATAATGCCTTACTGCAAGGTCGTCTTGATGAGGAGGTCTATATACGTCAACCACCTGGTTTCGAAGCTTCTACACATCCTATACATGTTTGCAAGCTGCACAAGGGTAAATATGAACTTAAACAAGCTCCCAGGGCCTGGTACACTGAACTCAAAAATTATCTTGTTACTTCGGGATTTATTAAATCCCAATCTGATTCATCATTGTTCATCATGAATAATTCTGAGTTTACTGCTTATATACTAGTTTATGTTGATGACATAATTGTTACGGGCAATCAAATTCGTGGTGTTCAAAACATTATTGAAACTTGCAACCCGATTCTCACTAAAGGATCTTGGTCCACTTCATTATTTCCTTGGTGTTGAAGTCTTTTCTTATCCAGTTGGTCTTTTGTTGTCTCAACAAAAACACATTACAGATATGTTACAGGAAGTTAATATGCACACTTGCAAGGGTGCTCCAACGCCAATGGCTTCTACCGTTGTTTTCCCAGAATCTACTGAAGATTCTCTAGTAGATGGCTTTCTTTATAGGCGGATAATTGGTAAACTTCATTATCTTTCCTTTACACGGCTGGACATTGCTTTTGCAGTTAGCAAACTCTCATAGTCCATTCACCAACCCTTAATATCTCATTGGACAACCATGAATCGTCTCCTTCGGTATCTTTACCAGACATTTTCGTTTGGTCTCCGAATTGCTAAAGAACGTGATCATCGTCTTCTAGCCTACTCGGATTCTGACTGAGCTGGAGATCCTCTTGATCGAACCTCCACTACAAGTTATGTTGTTTACCTTGGCAACTCTCCGATATCATGGTCCTCTAAGAAGCAAAGATCTATTTCCCGTTCCTCCACAGAAGTAGAATATCGGGCTGTTGCAGCTACTGTCTCTGAGACCAATTGGCTAAGAAGTTTACTAGAATGAGCTTTGCTTCCGTATATCAGCCACTCCTCAAATCTTTTGTGACAATGTCAGTACCACTTACATTTGTGCCAATCCGATGTTTCATAGTCGTATGAAGCATATTGCTATTGACTTTCACTTTGTTCGTGAACAAGTTCAAAACAAGGAAATCGAAGTTCAACACCTTCACTCGACTGATCAAGTGGCAGATATACTTACTAAACCGCTTCCAAGAGCCACGTTTGTCAAGCAATTTTCCAAGTTGGGTGTTGTTGACACCACCAACTTGCGGGGGCGTAATAACGACTGATTACTGCTTACTATAGGATTCCTTACTACTGTAGAATTCTATTTTGTAGCTACTGATCTTTAGGAATTTGTTGTAACTCTCTCCTCCTATTTAGACTCTTTTCTGATAGGTTTTATCTTTTTTAAGTTTATCTTGTTTCTACATCTGTTGTACATATCTGTATAAATGGTCTGTCATACAATCAAATAACATCGCAATATTTTCCATCTTTTACTTCTCTTTTACATTCATCAGTCCTTAGTTTTTGATTGGATGATCAAACTATCTCACATTGTATCAGAGCCAACCCTACACACTCATAGATCCGCATCAAAATCCATTAAATTCCTTACAATTTATTTACTCTTTTTTTGTTTAACAATTCGATATTCGATAAACAATAGGACTTAACCCTATGTGAGGGAATGGAAAGAAAGGAGCATAAAATAGCAAGGGGGAAGTAGAGAAAAATTTGGCCCAACAGGAAACTGAGCCCGTTTGGATTAGGTGATTGTAAATAACTAATAAGCTTGAAATGTTGAGAAGCATTTTTAAGTGCTGAAATCGATTTTTAAAATAAGCATTGACGTGCTTGGATAGACGTGCTGAAACTATTAATAAGTAGTTGTTGTGTTTGTTAGAAAAGTGCTGATAAGCTATTCTTTTGTTAAAATGACTAAAATACCCTCAAAACTTTTCAAAATATATTAAATTAAAAAATTTATTTGTAAAGAAAAGGATGAAAACGAATCTGGAATGAAGAGAAAGTTAGAAAATTTATTTTGGGAAAAATATTTTGTGAATTAAAAAATATTATTAAGGATAAACTAGTAAAAGCCTTGGTCAAACTAAACGTGTTTATAAGCTGAAAAACCATAAGTTAGGGGTGACCAACTTATGACTTATGGATGATTTTAGCTTATAAGCACTTGGCCTATAAGACTAAACGCGTAGATAAGCCAAAAGGTGCTTATAAGCCTGTTTGACCAGCTTATAAGCTTAGACAAACACCCTAGAAAATTAGTTTGCCTAAGAGAAGACTTACTTCTCTCCCTCTCTCTCTCAATTTCCTTTCCTGTTAAAATGATTCTTAGGATTCTTTTTTATTGTCTTTGTTGATAAAAATTATAGCTATATGCATAATATTACTCCTTGCTGCAAGCGGCAGTAGCAAATGTGCAAAGGCCTATTTGATTATTTTATCCACAAATGAACAATTAAACAATGAAACAATCCATTAAACTTGGAATGAAAAAGGTAATCTTAATGACAAAAAAAATGATTGAAAAAGAATACAAGAAACAACCAAAACTTCAAACAGGCCTTGAGCCAAATGCCAGAAACTTCAGTAAATCTGATGTTGAAGCAAGAGCAAGAGTCCTCTCTCACTTCCCAACTATTTGACGTGCACGTCGATTGGCACCTTTAACTCGAGAGTTTAATTCCTCCACATCTTTGTCAAGATCATCAATAGCTTTGTTTTGCCTGCATTTATCAGATTTCAATAATGTATGTTAATAGGATAAAAGACAGAAAAAAGTAAATGATGCCTTAGCCAAGCAGAAAAACAGTATACAGAATGCAGTATTTGAGGAATGGAGTTTAACTTCCTATCCTATCATCTAAAAGATAACTACAGTTAGTTCTATTCATAATAAGTGGAATTAGTTACTTGAAAAATAAAACAGCCAACATGCTACAACAAGTTAAATTACATTAATAGGTAAAAGTATTGGGAATAAACCTCGTAAAAATAATATTCACGGTATTAGTGATAAACGCAGAACACTAAGTTATGATTAAATTAGCAAGAATAGAAATGCAGCAATAATGACACCAAAATTTTACGTGGAAACCCTTCTGAATAAGAGAAAAACCACGGCCAAGAAGAGCAACTGATATCACTATAGCGAGGATTTTTCCACTGTGTAGTAGCGAGTAAAAATACTCCTAAGACCACTACACCCTCAAAAGAAATAAACACTTTTGCTTTTTCCACCTCACTACAATATCTCTCACACTCTATTTTTCTTCACAAACTATTTTCTTATAGTTTATGGAATATCTTGCTCTCTCTCTTTTCTCTCTTTGTTGGTGTAATGAAATGAGAGTTAAAACTCTCCTTTTATAGCCAAAACCTCACTCTCTAAAGCCTACAATATTTGACAATTTCACACTCTTTTCACAATTTCAACAAGGTTGGCTACCAAACCAAACCAAGTCAATAAATTGGCTACCAAATCATGCCAATTTAACAAGGTTGACTACCAAACTAAACCAAGTCAATAAAATTGGCTACCAAATCATTTGAATGAGATGGACACCATATCAATCTCCTCCTCCAGTCTCATTCATCTAGAGGAGGTAGCACTATCTTCTAGTTTGAGTGCATGCCGACAAGTTCTTTGTATAGCTCGAACTTGTCTCTTGGTACCACCTTGGTCAACATATCTGTAGGATTTTCACTCGTGTGAATCTTTTTGACTTGAAGTGATTCGTTCTCCACTTGCTCACGAATCCAATGATATCTGACGTCGATGTGTTTTGTTCTCGCATGGTACATGGAGTTTTTGCTTAGGTCTATTACACTCTGACTATCGCAATAGACAACATACTCCATCTGTCGCAATCCAAGTTCTTGAAGAAATATCTTGAGCCATATCATTTCTTTGCCAGCTTCAATAGCCACAATATACTCCGCTTCAGTTGTAGATAGTGCGACACACTTCTGCAACTTCGACTGCCATGATATAACTCCCCATAAAAAAGTAAACAAATATCCAGTAGTGGATTTTCTGTTATCAAGGTCACCTGCCATATCAGAATCTGTATAGCCATTCAAAATTAGATTTGATCCTCCAAAACATAAGCATTCATGAGAGCTTCTTCTTAGATACCTGAGTATCCACTTTACAGCTTCCTTATGCTCTTTTCCTGGATTTTCGAGAAATTTGCTAACAACACCGACTGCATGAGCAATATCTGGTCGAGTGCATACTATTGCATACATCAAACTTCCAACAGCAGAGGAATCAGGAATCTTGGACATTCTTTCTTTTTCCTCCGTTGTTGTAGGACACATCTTCTTCCTTAACTTCAGATGACCAGGAAAGGGTGTGTGAACTAACTTAGCACTCTTCATATTGAAGCGCTTCAGTACACGTTCTATGTACTTCTCCTGTGACAAGTAAAGCTTCCTTTCATTTCTCGAACGAGTAATTCTCATGCCCAAAATCTGCTTAGCGTGACCCAAGTCTTTCATTGCAAAGGACTTATTCAACTGTTTCTTCAACTCGTCAATCTTGAAACATTTCTGCCCATAATCAACATATCATCCACATATAGCAAGAGGATGATAAAGTCATCATCAGAAAACCTTTGTACAAACACACAGTGATCTGAAGAAGTCTTCTTGTAGCCTTGCTCCCCCATAACAGACTCAAACTTCTTATACCACTGTCTGGGAGCTTGCTTCAATCCGTATAGACTCTTCTTAAGTTTGCATACAAGATTTTCTTTACCTTTTACCTTGAAGCCCTCAGGTTGTTCCATATAGATCTCCTCTTCTAAGTCACTGTGAAGAAAAGCAGTCTTCACATCCATCTACTCAATCTCCAAATCAAGACTAGCAGTCAAACCAAGAACTGTCCGAATGGAGGACATTTTCACGACATGGGAAAATATTTCGTCAAAGTCAATACCTTTCCTTTGACCAAATCCCTTGACAACCAATCTAGCTTTGTATCTGAACTTCAAACTATGTTCTTCAGCTTTAACTTTGAACACCCACTTGTTTTTCAAAGCTCTCATGCCCTTAGGCAATTTCACCAACTCATAAGTATGGTTCTCATGCAGAGATTTCATCTCATCTTGCATGGCTTCAATCCATTGATACTTGTGCTCATCTTCTATGGCCTTCACATAACATTCAGGTTCTCCCCCATCAATGAGTAATACATACTCATTGGGTGAATAACGGGAGGAAGGAGTGCGTGGTCTAGAAGACCTCCTGAGTGGAATATCTGACTCGTCCACAACTTCATGAGTAGGAGCATCTACCTCATCAACATTAGCATTGTTATCACCATCACCATCAATATGTTGATCTGGAATGTGGTTCTGGGCATCACCATCATCATTAAGCCCACCAACGTCATCCGTATTTGTACGAGGAACTTGATCAAGATTGACTAAACCTTCAAAACTTGTAGATTTTAGCTTCTCCGCTTTGTTAATATCTTCAATGGTTTGATCCTCCACGAAGATAACATCACGGCTTCTTATTACCTTCTTCTCAATTGGATCATATAGCCTGTAACCAAACTCATCAAGGCCATAACTAATGAAGATGCACTGTCTTGTCTTGGCAGTTAATTTTGACCTCTCATCTTTAGGCACATGTACAAAAGCTTTGCAACCAAACACTTTCAAGTGGTCATAGGAAACATCCTTGCCATACCAAAATCTGTTTGGAACATCACTTTGCAGAGCAACTGCAGGGGATAGATTAATAACATGTGCGGCAGTCAACAAAGCCTTACCCCAAAAGGAATTCGGCAACTTTGCTTCAGAAAGCAAACATCTGACTCTTTCCATCAAGGTCCTGTTCATCCTTTCTGCTAAACCATTAAGCTGAGGAGTCTTAGGAGGAGTCTTCTGGTGTCTGATACCCTGTTCCTTGCAGTATTCGTCAAATAGTCCACAATATTCACCACCGTTATTAGTACGAATACACTTCAACTTCTTTCCAGTTTCTCTTTCAACTGAAGCCTGAAACTGCTTAAAGACACCCAACACTTGGTCTTTAGTCTTCAAAATGTAAACCCAAAGTTTCCTTGAGCAATCATCAATAAAGGTAGCAAAATAAAGTGTACCACCCAAAGCTCTTGTCTTCATTGGACCACATAAGTCTGAATGCACCAACTCAAGCAACTCTGTCTTTCTTGAAGGAGGATGGGATTGGAAAGAAACTCTTTTTTATTTTCCAGCCAAGCAGTGCTCACATTTTCTAATTTTGCACTTTCAAAATTTGACAACAATTTCATCTTGGCCAGAACATTTAGTCCTTTCTTGCTAATGTGGCTAAGCCTCTTATGCCATAACGTTGAAAAGCTATTGCTCTCAACGACATTCACCATATCAACACAGGTAGAGGTCGTAGTCCAGTATAGACCACATTGCTTTTTCCCACGAGCCACAATCATGGAACCCTTAGTGAGTTTCCACTTTCCAGCACCATTGGTACCCTCATCATCCAAAACACCAACAGAGATCAAATGCAAACGAACATCAGGTGCATGCTTTACATTGTTTAAAACTAGTTTATTTACAATACTAGTTTCCAAACAAATCGTTCCAACACCAGCCACCCTAGATACAGTCTCATTAACCATACTCAAAGTTCCATAGTCACCCTGAGTATAGGATGTGAAAAATTCCTTCCTTGTTGTCGTATGAGATGCGGCATCACTGTCCACAACCCAGCTTGACTCATCACAAGCAATATTTATCAGATCCGCATCAAGGACAGTAACAAGATCTTCTGTAGTGACGGTGGCCACACGATTGCCATCTTCTTTCTGTTCTTCCTTGTCTCTATTCTCCTTTTTCAAAATCCGGCAGAACTTCTTTGTGTGCCCTTTCTTCCCGCAATGATAGCACTCAATATCTTTAAGTCTGCTTCTGGATTTGCTTCTATTATGTTCTCTATTTTGAGAACCCCGATTCTTGCTTCTCCCCCTAGAGTCAGTCACCAAGATATCTGATGAGGAGGAACCCTGAGATTTTCTTCTCATCTCTTCATTTAAAAGGCTGCTCTTGGCAAGATCCATAGAGATCACACCATCCGGAGCAGAATTTGATAATGAAGTTCTAAGAATTTCGCAAGAATCTGGTAGGGAACCAAGTAGAAATAAGACTTGAATTTCTTCATCAAATTTAATGCCCATAGCAGATAACTGGTTCATGATCCCCTGAAGATTATTCAGATGATCTATCATCGCGGAACCATCATGGTATTTTAAACCCAACATCTGCTTTATCAGAAACATCTTGTTGTTTCTATTTTTCCGAGCATACAAACTTTCAAGGTGCTCCCATAGGGTCCGAGCATGTGTTTCCCCAGAAATATGGTTCAAAACATTATCGTCAACCCACTGTTTAATAAAGCCGCAAACCTGCCTGTGTAACAAATTCCACTCTTCATCTGATTTATTATCAGGCTTTATAGTGGCGAAGACAGGTTGATGAAAATTCTTGACATAGAGAAAATCTTCCATTTTGCCCTTCCAAATGACATAATTTGTGCCATTCAAAGTAACCATTCTACTAGTGTTGACTTCCATCGTTTATCACAAGTACAAATACTATTTATTATGAGACCAAAATAATTCTTTTCTGATGTGGAAGTTCAGACTGTGCTGCAACCACAGAGCATACTCAGACAGAACCTTGGCTCTGATACCACTTGTTGGGAATAAACCCCGTAAAAATAATATTCACGGTATTAGTGATAAACGCAGAATACTAAGTTATGGTTAAATCGACAAGAATAGAAATGCATCAATAATGACACCAAGATTTTACGTGGAAACCCTTCTGAATAAGGGAAAAATCACGGCCAAGAAGAGCAACTGATATCACTATAGCGAGGAATTTTACACTGTGTAATAGCGAGTAAAAATACTCCTAAGACCACTACACCCTCAAAAGAAATAAACACTCTTTTGCTTTTTCCACCTCACTACAATATCTCTCACACTCTATTTTTCTTCACAAACTTTTTTTTTATAGTTTATGGAATACCTTGTTCTCTCGCTTTTCTCTCTTTGTTGGTATAATGAAATGAGAGTTAAAACTCTCCTTTTATAGCCAAACCTCACTCTTTAAAGCCTACAATATTTGATAATTTGCACACCTTTTTCAGAATTTCAACAAGGTTGACTACCAAACCAAACCAAGTCAAAATTGGCTACAAAATCATACCAATTCAACAAGGTTAGCTACCAAACTAAGCCAAGTCAACAAAATTAGCTACCAAATCATTTGAATGAGATGGACACCATATCAAAAAGTTCTTTTAATTGCCCGTGTACATAAGTTAAATCTTGATGTTATTTTCCATGTACAATTGCCACCACACTGAGCTACCCCACCAACAGAAATAGAATGAAACTATATGTTCATTATATGCTATAGTTTAGTTCAGTATCACAGATGAAAGTTGACAGTCACTTCATGACGCCGTCTCAAAAGCACATTTTAAACTTCAGAAAACTTTAGCTCATTAACATCTTTTCAGAATCATGCTTAATGATTTTGTCACAAGAAATTAGCACTCAATCATATTTCTTTTAACATTTCAGGGAAGCAGAGGATCTTTTCAAAAGTACTCAAAGTTAATCAGGTTAGTAGATTTGTCCTTCCAAGAAAAATATCAGGTACTGCTAGTCAAATTAGACGATACTTACTTGTCAAGTTCAGATCCCATGTCAACAGCCATGCCTTTTAGATCACCCAATATGTTGCTAAGATCTGAAAGTGCATCATCTTGCTTCGCCTTCTCCAACTGGTTAAACATAAAAATAGTTTAAACATGAAAAGAAAACATAAATTTAACTTTTTAATGTAGAAGTAATTGCCACAAATAGCCAGATTGTGTAAATACAAAATGTACCTCCACTTGCTGCATAGCGTTCATCGATTCAGGAGGAGGTGTGCTTGAGGCTGACTTTCCTTTTTTACCATTAGATAAACCTAATTTTTCCCTTTCATTTGCACTACTTTCTTTCCCTCTATAATTATCATCTACAAGAACCAACGGATGAAAGTAAGTATCTCTGTTAGCAATTAAAATTACAGAAAGAAGAAGAGTGAATATGATATGGAGGATAACACAAAACCTTTTGAAGTTCGAGGCCCTTTAATATCATGGCTCTTCTTCGGCTTCCAAGGCATAGAGAACATACCACCAAGATTGTTCAATAACTTCTCCCCCTGGAATGCAAAAACATGTTCATTATTGTCAACTTAAGTCATGTCAGATGGACCATATCTTCCAATTGTACCAAATAATAAACATATCGCACGAGCAAATTAAAGCTAATTAAGCTACACCCTCAGCTTTAAATTGGTTGCATGATGCAAATTGTTTGACTTAGATTCCTCTACTCATGAATTCAGAAATTGAACTTGTAGTGAAGACAAAGAAAAAGGAACTCGCATTGGCTAAAGAAACATGAAAAATGCAAAAGACTGATAAGCTCAACAAGATAAAGCTTTCCCATTAGTGGTAAACTGAAATAGAATTCAAAATGAGACGACTCATAACATTTGGAGGACAAAGAAACACATTGTTCATAGAGAGTACTACTACCAGTTTTCACTGAAAGGGAATTATTTTAACTTAATTTACAATATCGTTGTATTTTAACATATTACTGCAGGTTATTTGATCTATTTTCTAAGATATCATATTAGACTTGCTATGAATAGTTACCACTTGTCGTAGGTAACTTGACCTGTTGGTGTAAAATAGCTATATAATGCAAGTGCACAAGAAGTAAATGGAACTCTTGAAAAATGAAGTGCAATAATAATTGAAGTGATCGATACCTTGCTCAAATCGCGGTCCATATCAACAGCCATCATGTGAGTACGATGAATTTGCTCACCTTGCTTATGCAAGGTATCGAGTGTCTTAGCACCATCCTGTCTAATATCCTCAGCTATCTTCAAACAGTTATTCACCGAGCTTGTGGTCTCCTTAGCTTGATTTACAGCATAACCTTCCAATTCTTGCATAGACATGTTATCGAAGTCCTGTGTCTTACTTTTATTTTTGTTCCTTGTCCCTGACGATGATGATGTTCCAAAATCATCATCATCTGGTGTGACAAGAACTGGTTCGGAAGAAGTTCTTCGCGCATTTTTAGTTCCATGTTTTTCATCAGAATGTGAAGGGGTTGTATTTGTAGTAGCAGAGTCTGCTTTACCTTTCCTGAAGCCAAACATTTTTGGAAATTGAGTGGAATCTGCTTTTTTGGGAACTAAAGGAATTTTTCTGAAGGATCAGTATTTTGCACTTAATAGGATCACCTGAAATGCAAAAAATTTCAAGATTGTAAACAAAAGGCTCAAATTGCTTGTAAAACAAAAAACATATCCCTTCTATATTACACATAAAAACCAATATCAGCAAATTAGTAAGACTTCAACTATACAACAGCTTTTTGGCCAAAATATTACTGGGAGAAGTTACTGCCGTGTGACCATGAGGTCACTGGTTCGAGCCGTGGAAATAACATCTTGTAGAAATACAGAGTAAGGCTGTGTACGATAGATCCTTGTGGTCCGGCCCTTCCCGGACACCGCGCATAGCAGGACCTCAATGCACCGAGTTGTCTTTTTTTTTTAAAAAAATTTCTGATAGTTTAACATGCTATTAATGCAGTGGCGAAATGGTCTAGTTCCAAACAGGATCAAATGAATGAATTTTAGCAGAAGGCCATCATTTGCACTATAAAAAAACGATTCGCAAAATTCGTGATAAAAATGACCAAGATCAAAAACAAAACGCACATACCACAATGTTGAGTCAGAAATGATCACCAATATATGAATTCATTTGGCGAAAAACCCATCATAATTAATCAATTGAGGAAAGCCAAAATCAACAAAAACGAAAAAGGAGAAAAGGGCCGTACCCAAATTTCAAAATTTAATCCAGATTCATATATTAAAAAGTGACAAAGATGAGAAGAAATGCACATACTAATATTGATGCAGAACAAACTATGAATTCATTTTTGAAACCCATCTCAATTAATCAAATGAGGAAACTATCATCATCAAATTAAAAAAAAAAAAAGGAAAGAGGACGCATTCAATATTTAAGAAAAATTAAAGAGAACTATGAAAAAGATGTGTTTGAAATAAATACCTGGAAATGATTGAAAATGTTGTCTATTTGTAGACGTATGAATATGGAAAGAAGGGAGGCTATGGAGAAGAAGAAATACTGAAATTGCAGAAATTTCTTCCTCTCCAACGCGCAATTAGAATGAAGAAATGATGGACACAAAGAGTCTCTCTTTTTGAATGGATCAAATATTGAAGGGAGAAAAGTGGAAGGTCCCGCGAAAAACCAGGTTTTCTACACTTTCTTGACCGTTGGGATTTTTTACACTTCTGTTATTCTCCTACTGTCCTACATCACATTTTTACACCTCTTTTTATTTATTTACCCTCTTTCTAGTTTGAGAATATTCTTTTTTCCTTTTAATTCCATGAGACTTTTAATTCGTTATGTCAGCCCTTCTAAAAGGACAACCTGGTGCAGAAACAATCTCGCGTTTACGTAGGGTCCGGGCAAGGGCCACAACTCAAGAGATGTGATATAGATAGCCTACCCTAATGCAACCCGTAACATATAAGCCTTCCTTTCTACCGTTATGTCAGCCCCTCTATGGTTAAGAACTAACACAATTATTGATTCTCATTTTAATTTATCAGTTAATTATGATAATTAATATGATTTGATGTAAATATTCGTGTAAGTTTTTACTATGTCAGGTTGAGTTCCACAGAATATATAGCTCATAATTGGTCATAAAATTACCATTGGAACGATAGTGTCACGAATTTTAGTAACATTTTATCTGATTGAGTATTTCAAGGGACGGACTATGTATTTGGACATAAATATACAAGTAATTTGAGAACATTGATATAGAGTTATATGAATAAAACAATGTGGTCAATGAATAATTTCTTGGCCGGACTACATGAGCTTATTGTAGTTGTGGGCATGTACCATATAATTTAAGTTGTATGTACTAATGATGTATATAATATTTATATAATCATGTCACCTAAAAGATAATTGCATATAATTTTAATTATTAAAATTAATTAGTAACTTATAGTAATAAATAGTAAGTAATTTTCCATAACATCCACGTTAATTATATTGATAGAGTAAAAATATTATTACTTTGTAGAGTATATAACAATTCATTCACATCCCGCGCATACCTGATTTTTCATTTGTTTTTTCCTCACTGTAAAAATATTATTACTCTATAGTGTATATGTTGTAACATACGCATTCCCTTCGGTCATGGATAGATTAGTCTAAGAGTAGGATCTAAAATTTAGTGTGTAATACGAACTCTTTTTTTTAAAAAAGTAAAGTGCTAGAGCAAAATTGGTAATTACTAGTAATTTTGTTTATTTAAAATAGTTTATAGCTTCTAACAAACACTAGTCGAGGGTAATTTGTGAATTAAGAATTTCAACTTTCTTATTCTATCCTAGTAATATGCGGATAGGAAATTTGTGACTTGGTAAACACAATTTACATTATAGCTAACAGTTCAACGTTTCATGATCCATTACAGTCAAAAGGACAATTTGGTACACCAAGCACTCAGTATGCACAATTTATTAAAATTATATTATATTTATAGTACACAATTTTATATTACATTTTAGTAAGAGAAGTGTGATTAGTGCTTACGCTCCGCGGACGGACTTGGATGAGGAGGTTAAAAGACACTTATAGGAGAATTTGGATGAGGTGGTGCGAGGTATTCAACACACCGAGTAGCTATAATCCCATCTACTAATCTTGACACTAATATCATAATAATCTTATTAATAACCATATTTAGTTATTTACTAGGAAGATATGGACAGAGTAGATAATTAAAATGTGGACTTTAATTCTTATAAATGTGGCTAATTCATGTTTCCAGAAGAGGGAGGACCATTTGGTCACGTTTTGGAGTACGGTGGTCAAGACTCAGATTGATTACCTTCTATGCAAGAAGAGTGATAGAGGCTTATGCACTGACTGTAAGGTTATATCGAGCGAGTGGCTTTTGACCCAATATAATCTCTTGGTAATGGACTTGGAGATCAAGGGAGAGAGGAAGAAGGAGCGTAGTGTACGATCAACCTAGGATCAAGTGGAGAGTCTTGATTAAGGACAAAGCTCAGGTATTGGGGGAGAAGCTGTTGACTATGGGGGCCTGGAGACACGAGTAGTATGTGGGGCACAACAACTAACTGCATTAGGGTAACTGCTAGAGAAGTGTTAAGGGTTACAAAGGGTTACTGGGGGAGGGGGTGGGCACAAAGGGGACTGATAGTGGAACGGAGAGGTCCAACGTAAAGTGAAAGCCAAAAAAAAAGGCATACGTGAACTAGTGGAGAGTGTTGACGAGGAGGAGAAGAGGACAAATTGGGAGTGTTGTCAAATGCAAAGAAAGAGGCAAAGTTAGCGGTCATGGCGGCCAAGACTGCAATGTTGGAACGCTTGTATGAGGAACTTGGAGACAGAGGCGGTGACAAAAAACTGTTTAGGCTAGCCAATGTTAGAGAGAGGAAGGATCGAGACCTGGACCAAGTGAGGTGCATCAAAGACGAGAACAACAAGATATTGGTGGAAGAGGTGTGTATTAGGCGTAGCTGGCAGACATACTTCCATAAACTCTTGAACGAAGACGGGGACATAAATATCGTGCTTGGGGAGTTGGAGAACTCAAAAAGCCAGCATGATTTTCGGTTTTGTAGATGCATTAAGGTTGATGAGGTTTGTGGAGGCAATGCAGAAGATGAGCAGGGGTAAGACGACTAGGCCAGACGAGATTCACGTGAAATTTTGGAAGGACGCGAGTCAGACAGGTTCGGAGTAGCTTACTAGCCTATTTAATGTCATTTTTAGGACGAATAAGATGCCCAAAGAATGGAGGCGGAGTTTGATAGTTCTATTGTACAAGAACAAGGGAGATGTCCAAAATTGCAACAACTATATGGGTATCAAGCTGATTGTTAGATCTATGTTTATTTTAATTATGCAAAATAACATTAATCTTTATGTGCAGAAATATTCCTTAAGCAATGAAAAAGAAGTATCGAAGAATCAAGACGAAAAAGGAAGGAGTAGCAAAAAATCAAAGGCAAAATCAATCAAGGATTTGGCAGAAGATCAAGAAGAATATTATAGGAATGACCTCAATCAAAGGAAATCAAAGGCACAGAATTATGCACTGAAGATTTCTCCATCTAAGTACGTCAATCGAAGCCGAAATCGAGGGATTTTATTTGATATTCCAAATAACGGGAATATCCACTCAACAAAGGAAAAATCCAATCAAGACCACAAGTCAAGGCAAATCAACAGAAGAAATATCCTATTCTTGGAAAGAACCAATCTACAATTTCTTTTTTAGATCAACTCCCTTGGGTTTGAAATCTCTCAAGATTCACAATTTATGAAGGCCTCACGGAGTATAAATACTCACTGCGCCAGTTTGGAACGAATATACTTTGATCAAACCACTATCACTCTTTTTGTTCTACTCTTAATAAGCATTGTAGTCTACTCTAAATCTACTGTGTAACTAGGGAGAGAAAAAAGAGAGAAAAATCACTAGTGAGGCATTGTATCAAGAAACGAGAAGTAACATAGTGACTAAGCTATTGGTGTAAAACTAAATCAACTCTCCTATATCGAGAAACTTCAAATACTGAAAGAGAAGCAACCTAAGGGGACTGGACGTAAGATTCACATTAAACCTGAACCACTATAAAATCCTACTGTCTTTAATTCCCGTATTTTTATTTCTGCTTTATTTATATTCTGTTCTTACCTTCAGTCAACTAATTGGTAAATGATCGATGTCAACCCTACACCACTACAAAGTGGAAAGAGTGATCGAAACAGCTTTTACCCGAGATGGTCGGGATCGAATCCATAGGGAGCTAGAATTGGTTGGGAAATGGTTTCCTATCTAAATTAGCAATGCGTAGTGCTCTTAATTACACTTCAAATCATCTTTGGTTGTTTGTTACTTCTAATTTTTAAACTAATAGTATGCTAAATTAAGCTAAGAGTGAATGCTTGTAAGGTTTTCTAAATAGTTAAAGAGGCACTAGGGAAGTGACTTTCTCCTAGGTGAATACTTGACGGGATCTAAAGCCTAAAGTAAAGATCTTATGTTGGAAATTGAGATATAGCCAATACACGGAATGACTCACTCTATACCACTCGGTAGCTTGAGTGACTTTGCTCTAATTGACTTTCTCAGGAACAATTGGGTGTCCAAATTGTGCAAGCAATATAGGCTCAAGTCGGATATTACTATCTCTAGGTTTAACCCTTTAATTGGGGCTATCAATCTCTTGATTACACTCCAATTCCTTGTTAAACTGATTTTCCTAGGCTTAAACCCTCTTTCTCAAGAAGAGCCCAAGTCAAATAGGCACAAATTAGTGTTTGCAACCACTAATTCAACATGAAAAATACAAATCAGTCCAAATATCAACTACCTATAAACATCTAAGCCTTAAAACGAACGACCCATCAAATACCCATACTAGGGTTGAGCCATAACCCTAGCTAATGGGTCTAGCTACTCATAATAATAGATGAAATCAGAAAATTAGATGAAGAATAACCCATAAATTATGATTACAAACTAAGAAATAACGATTCAATGTTGAACTAGCCATAAAATTACTCAAAATAGGTCTAAAACGGCCTTCATGTGCTCTGGGATCTAACAGATTACAAAAGATACCCTAAAAATGTAAAAGGAAAGTATTTATACTAGGCTGAATTTTCTGGACAAAAATACCCCTGCGGAGGTACCGCGGACCGCAAAAAATGGATTGCAGCCGCAGTGGAGCTTTTAGCTTCAATTGCTCAATCTATGAACTTGGCCACTACGGGCCGCATAAAGTACACCGCAGCCGCAGTGGCTTCACTGCGGTCCGCATAAAATTACATCGCGGATCGCGCTGGCTTCAATCGTCCAAACTCCTAACTCTGTAAATCCCCTCTTCGCGGACTGCAAAAGAAAAGAATGGGGCCACGAAGAGGCTACTGCGGCCGTGAGAAATCCTCCGCGGACCGCACTGCTTTGAGCTCCAAAAGTGCACCTCTCTGAACTCTTCCACCGTTGACCGCACTAAATGGTCTACGACAGCAGTGGGTCTGTTGCGGCTGCAGTTGATTTTATGCTACATCAATGCCTGGACTGGTTCTTGGTACTTGTGCATGTTTCA